GTCTGAACCTCTGCTTATCTTTCCTAAATTCACATGACTCTGGTCATTGTCTCTTCATTTGAACATGTTGGGCTTGCACTGCACTCTTTTCTAATGGGAATTTATTATATTAATGTAAGTCGTTTTATGGTTTGTGCATGACAGAGCCACGTTCAGATCCTGTTACAGGTCTGTGGATCATGACTTTAATCCCCTCGTTATGCTGGGAGTTTCAAGAGGATCAAATTCTTTGCTGTGTAAGGGATCGCTAGTGGAGAGAATGGTGATTTCAACTACCGTATTTTTCGCTCCATAAGACACACCTGACCATAAGACGCACCTAGGTTTTAGAGGAGGAAAACAAGAAAAAAATATTCTGACCCAATCGACTGCGGACGTACTGCACTAGATGACCAGAGACTGCGACGTACTGCGGGAGGTGACCGGAGACTGCGGACGTACTGCGGGAGGTGACCGGAGACTGCGGACGTACTGCGGGAGGTGACCGGAGGCTGCGGACGTACTGCGGGAGGTGACCGGAGGCTGCGCACGTACTGCGGGAGGTGACCGGGAGGCTGCGCACGTACTGCGGGAGGTGACCGGAGGCTGCGCACGTACTGCGGGAGCTGACCGGAGGCTGCGCACGTACTGCGGGAGCTGACCGGAGGCTGCGCACGTACTGCGGGAGCTGACCGGAGGCTGCGCACGTACTGCGGGAGCTGACCGGACCGGAGGCTGCGCACGTACTGCGGGAGCTGACCGGAGGCTGCGCACGTACTGCGGGAGCTGACCGGAGGCTGCGCACGTACTGCGGGAGCTGACCGGAGGCTGCGCACGTACTGCGGGAGCTGACCGGAGGCTGCGCACGTACTGCGGGAGCTGACCGGAGGCTGCGCACGTACTGCGGGAGCTGACCGGAGGCTGCGCACGTACTGCGGGAGCTGACCGGAGGCTGCGCACGTACTGCGGGAGCTGACCGGAGGCTGCGCACGTACTGCGGGAGCTGACCGGAGGCTGCGCACGTACTGCGGGAGCTGACCGGAGGCTGCGCACGTACTGCGGGAGCTGACCGGAGGCTGCGCACGTACTGCGGGAGCTGACCGGGAGGCTGCGCACGTACTGCGGGAGCTGACCGGAGGCTGCGCACGTACTGCGGGAGCTGACCGGAGGCTGCGCACGTACTGCGGGAGCTGACCGGGAGACTGCGCACGTACTGCGGGAGCTGACCGGAGACTGCGCACGTACTGCGGGAGCTGACCGGAGACTGCGCACGTACTGCGGGAGCTGACCGGAGACTGCGCACGTACTGCGGGAGCTGACCGGAGACTGCGGTACTGCGGGAGCTGACCGGAGACTGCGCACGTACTGCGGGAGCTGACCGGAGACTGCGCACGTACTGCGGGAGCTGACCGGAGACTGCGCACGTACTGCGGGAGCTGACCGGAGACTGCGCACGTACTGCGGGGAGCTGACCGGAGACTGCGCACGTACTGCGGGAGCTGACCGGAGACTGCGCACGTACTGCGGGAGCTGACCGGAGACTGCGCACGTACTGCGGGAGCTGACCGGAGACTGCGCACGTACTGCGGGAGCTGACCGGAGACTGCGCACGTACTGCGGGAGCTGACCGGAGACTGCGCACGTACTGCGGGAGCTGACCGGAGACTGCGCACGTACTGCGGGAGCTGACCGGAGACTGCGCACGTACTGCGGGAGCTGACCGGAGACTGCGCACGTACTGCGGGAGCTGACCGGAGACTGCGCACGTACTGCGGGAGCTGACCGGAGACTGCGCACGTACTGCGGGAGCTGACCGGAGACTGCGCACGTACTGCGGGAGCTGACCGGAGACTGCGCACGTACTGCGGGAGCTGACCGGAGACTGCGCACGTACTGCGGGAGCTGACCGGAGACTGCGCACGTACTGCGGGAGCTGACCGGAGACTGCGCACGTACTGCGGGAGCTGACCGGAGACTGCGCACGTACTGCGGGAGCTGACCGGAGACTGCGCACGTACTGCGGGAGCTGACCGGAGACTGCGCACGTACTGCGGGAGCTGACCGGAGACTGCGCACGTACTGCGGGAGCTGACCGGAGACTGCGCACGTACTGCGGGAGCTGACCGGAGACTGCGCACGTACTGCGGGAGCTGACCGGAGACTGCGCACGTACTGCGGGAGCTGACCGGAGACTGCGCACGTACTGCGGGAGCTGACCGGAGACTGCGCACGTACTGCGGGCGGGAGCTGACCGGAGACTACAAACTTTTGGGAGGGCATTTAGTATGTGGGTACCAGAATTTGACAGGTGCCCACTCCAACTTCCGCTGCAATCACCTAGGCGATCAGAAGTGGAAATTGTCCTCCCTCCCTTTCCGTAGTCTTTTGGTCCCAGAAGACTATGGGGCCATTCACAAAGCGTAGTGCATGTGCAGTAGGCTCCCGGCTGTGAAGCTGTCACAGCTGGGTTCCCACACTAAAGATACTGGCGCCAGGGAGAGAAGACGACCGGTGAAACCAGCAGTGGTGAGGACACTGCAGGGCCGAGGGACAGGTAAGTGTCTGTGTTTTAAAAGTCAGCAGTTACAGTTTTTGACTTTTTTTTTTTTTTTTTTCAGCTGGAATGACGCTTTCAGGGGCAGCAGCTTTGGCCCTGCCTGGCACTGCCACAGAAGAGCCGAGCGGCCAGCCCAGTATTCTAACAGTGTGGCAACGGCAACTGAGGGAATACCGGGCCAGCCGATCCATATTCACTCCATAAGGAGCAGAGACCTTTCCCCCCCATTTTTCGGGCGGGAAGAAAGTGCGTCTTATGGAGCGAAAAATACGGTAGTTTTTTTAGACCATAAAACTCTAATCTTGAAACTTTATTCAAAGCCTTCATAAAGATTATTGGTGAAAACAGAATCCAACATAATGAAAGTGGTGCTGGACCTTAAAGGATAAGTTCACCTTGGGGAACATGTTGCATATTCCACCCATTTTTAGGGTGGAAAATGTAATGTATTCCCACTGCTGCAGCGTTTCCCCAATCCCCCACCTGTAGTGACAGTGAGCTGGGGATCTTTTTCCTGCTTTCACTGTCACTATTAAAAAAAAAAAAATAAAAAAATGCAGCTGTGCGGGGCTCCACCTGCACTACCGCATCATTCATTCACAGAGTTATGTGAATGGGAGAACTACAAATCCCAACAACCTTTGTGTCTGTCGGTGTGTAGTTCTCGATGAACTACCTGGGAGCTGTTGGGTTCATTGATGCTTTTTGTTGGCATGCAACTTCCTGCCCATATGAGCAAACTGCTTACACTGACAGTCTGCAAGAGCCGTGCATTGCACCCATGATTTGCTGATCGTGGGTGCAATGCTTTACAGACTCTTGTATTTATTTATTTTTTATTTATTTACCTGCAAAAAGATGTGCTTTTTTTTTTTTTTAATTGAACTTATCCTTTAAAGGCGCAACCTATATTCATCTGACATATATTTAATGGACACAGCTGGTATGTCTTGTCATAGCGTAAGTATGCTGATGTGTAAAATCACAATAACCTGGAGTTTCATGTTCCTAGTCTTGTGGTATTGCAGGCTCTCCCTACTCTGCCCATCACAGTTTAATTCTGTACCCCTTGCTAATTCAGAAAACTTTTATGCCCCTGCAACCCCCGCCTTGCAGTTTGCGCTATTATATGTAAAGGAATGCACTTTGGGGAGTGAGTAGAGCTGACTGACTAAAGGTTGCGGTACCTTTCGGAGGCCTTTGAAAGCTCGGCTTATTTTTGTCGCGAGAAATCCAGAGTAATAGGTAGATTCACCCAAAATTATTTTAGCTAAAAAGGGGAATTGCTCGCTGGCTTCTGATCCTTTTATGGACTTCAGCTACCAGTTCTCCCTGCCAAGGTACTTGTCTCTGATCCTGTCCACCTTGGCATATTCACTGTTACCACTCCTGCTCTTGCATTCCCTGTGCTATAAACTTAGAGCAGCCTTTCTCAACCAGGGTGCCTTGAGGTTCCTTCAGGGGTGCCTTGGTAAAATGTCTACAAATTGCCCAAAGCTTGTATACAAGCCAGTGGGTGGAACAAGCCTGACTTTTAGTTACACAAAGCCACAGGTTTTCATTGTGCACCATTACGACCTTCTAGCCGCCGGCATCCTGACAACCAATGACCTCATCAGTTGATGAGGATGTCAGCTGCCTACACCGCATCCTAGTTTGACCCTCCCCTGGCCCTCTCCATCAGTCCTGGGGTCACATTAACTCAGTGATGGAGAAAAACTGAGGGAGAAGAGAAACATTGGAATACTAGTCAGTACCAATGTGAAAAAGTGTATTTGCTTTGGAAGAATAAATCGCCTCTAATGTTGGGTGTCCTACATGTGTGGATGTTGCGTTTTATATAAAACTAATAGGATAGTTTTTCACATTTTAAAATGGGGTGCCCTTTTAAAATGGACAGTCTGGAGGCACCTCATTTTAGAATGGGTTTTAGAATGGGGTGCCTCAAGACTGTTCATAATTTTAAAGGGTGCTTTGCCTGAAAAAAGGTTGAGAAACACTGCTTTAGAGTATGTAAGCCCTGACTCTATTTTACAGTATGCTTTGGCATCATGCCTCACTGTAGGCCGCCCAGCAGCCAACTGAAGGAGCTTGCATGGCAGGCTGGCAATGCTGCGGCTAACTGTGACACAGTAGCTTAGTGTTGTTAACCATAGTTCTGTCATTTCCATCCTTTCTTTGTTACTTAGTAAGTCACTGACCTGAACTTACCATGCAACCAGTAAACTCTTCTGATATACACTTGCATGTTCGAGTTTAGCGCTTGTACATTCAAGTCACCAGTGTTGGCAACCATGTTCCTTTCTTATCTGGTTAACAAAAAGATGACATTTCCTCAGATCTGGCTAGTTAAAGGCCATGTAGTAGATACCGCCACCTCCTGCTCTGCCGTGGATAAGTCATGATCCAACAGACCACCCCTGTTGTTTGTCCCTCGTCTAACAATCATTGCTGTTTTGTGCAGTCGAATGCAGCCCTCGGTGACCAGCTCTAGCCTGAGCTCTGCTGATGAAAGCTCTATGGCCCAGGCTGACGACAGCCTGAAAAACCTTCATCTGGAACTAACGGAGATCTGTCTAGACATGATGGCCAGATATGTGTTCTCCAACTTCACAGCAGTTCCTAAGAGGTGAGTGTGTATGGCTGCATCTCACAGCAGAGTTGGGGCTTGTATCAATGTACTTTGGGCTTCTGTCAACGTCATCAGTTTGAGGTTCTTCTGAGTTCAATTCAACTTTAGAGAACAAGGACATTTGACCTGATTCATGCAGGTTTTGCATTCCCATAGACACATGAGTATACAAAACCCATTTGATACAAGCAAAATCCCATTGACAAAGGCCCGAAATATAAATCTGTTTTTGTAGATCTGTGGAAATACAATGCTCATTGAGTTTCTTGAATTTCTTCATAACTAAGTGCAGTTCTCTACTTTCTTAGCTGACCAAAATTCTAACAGATGGGCCAGTTTTAGACCATTTGCAAGACTTCTCTTGCCAAAAATTAGCATGGTCATAAATATTCAGGAGGTTTGTGTTTTTAGATCCTGCTCATTTCTAAAAGCTAAAAAGGACCACAAGAAATAATAATTTAATTTAGCCGCCAGACACATGTTTTCACTAACCTAAATTAACTAGAAAGTTAAGACTGCCAACCAAACTTTACGGGAGGCTGTCTGGTCTTTTCTCTATGGAGACAAACCATGAGGGGAAACTTTTTTTTTTAAATAGGAAGTTTAGCTGACTCTAAAAGAAAATTGCAGCTGGCTGGTGAAACCCTTAAATAATACAAACTACCTTATTCTCTATTATCACAAAAATTAGACATGGTTTAAATAAATATCCGGTAGCTAAATATTTGCTTTTCTTACAGGTCACCAGTTGGAGAGTTTCTGCTGGATGGTGGAAGAACGAAGACCTGGCTTGTCGGGAACAAGCTGATAACTGTGACAACTAGTGTAGGGAGGGGAACACGGTCACTTCTAGGGTTAGATACTGGGGAGGCCCCGAAGGAGGGCGATTCGGAATTCAGGTAATCGCCCATCACGTGACGGGGATATTGAAGTAATCATAGAGTGATAACACAAGTTGTTGCTGGTTAATATCCTCAAATTAGTGGAGTAGCTGCTTTTGTTTTTGAATTGGTGGATGCATATTTTCCATTCTTCTTGGACCCTTTGACATGAGGCTGACTCCGCCAGCAATCTGTTAGCTCAGCAGGCTATCTCTGCTGAAACCCCGCTGAGCAGGCAGAAGACCAGTCCATGTCCGCTCCACTTATGCAGAACGGACACAGCCTGCTGTCGTCTTCTATGGGGGGTCGGATGTAAACAGACCAGCTTGTCCATTTACACCCGACTGCCATCCTATCCAGCTGGATGGAAGGGGAACGGATCCCCATCCATCTGTTTTTTGAACAGATATAAAAGGATAAATATATCCATTTACCCCTGCCGCATCATCAGAGGAGAATGGAGGTTCCAGTCAGGACGCCTGAAAAACAGGTGGGCAGATGGACCCGATCAGAACATTCATGTGAAAGAGGCCTAAAAAAGATAAGCAATACCTGACAACACTTAAATTCTGCAAAAAGCTCTAAAATACATTACTTTCCTATCTTTTCAGTAAATGCTGATTTTGAAATTTTATGGTCACTGGTCAGGTGAGCAACTGCCTAGGCATTGGTCATGTGTCCTAAGCTGAAGGATCCTGAAGGATGTTTAGCTAGAGCCTCTGTCCAACTGTCTGCTGTTGATCCTTTGGCTTCGTATTTGGTCACGTGACAGTAGAAGCCTGGTGTAAGGCTTTTAGGTTTCTCTCTTTCAGCCCCCCCCATATGCACACTATGCATGATTGGAGGAATCTCCCCTGCCGGCTGTTGTATTCAGGCTGCCTGAATCCCTGAACTTTGATAGCGCCTGAGAAGACGTGGTCACTCTCAAGCCAACAATTTTCCACCCAACTCTTGATTTTTCAGTCCAGGTTTGCTGAGCCAGGTGGCACCCACAGGGCCACCCAAAACTTGAATTTCATACGATTCATCAGGAATCGGCTGAAATTCAAGCCATGTAAGGCTAGCCATGTTGGTCTGTTGACAGTTTTGTTGAAAATATCAGTATATGCAACACTGAGAAGCAGAAGATATGGAGTCCAGCCAATTTCAAGAAAAGGGTTCATCAAAAGTTCTGCCAATTGAATCATTTCTCTTTTTGCCCTAAAGCTCACCTATGCAAACAGAGCAAACCAAAGAAGCTCCACCAAAGATGGACCTGCAGGCGAGAAAGCCGGGTATGCAAACGCAGCGTCACAGAGTCCGCTCCATGTCTGGTGAGCTCACTTCCCTGGGAGAGCGTTCCTCTCCTGTTATCGTTCTTTCCACAATGGTGACATTGAGAGTTCAGAGGAGAACTTTTGTGAGTTCAGCACACCATGACCTGTCTGTGACCGGATCTGTCCATGTTCAGCCTTAAAGCTGCTACTGCTAGCTTTGCCATGTGCTTGGATAGAGAACTAACATCTAATTATGTCACTTGAATTGGTAACAAATTTGCTGCTTGGCTTAAATCAGATCCAGCCAAGTAGATCATGGAACCACTGCAAAAATAGCATCTAGTATCATTAACCTGCAGGAAGAAAGATGGCACAAATTAATGCAGCTCTGTAGTCCTTTATGCATAATTTATTATTATACAGGATTTTATATTGCGCTAACAGTTTGCGCAGCGCTTTACAAAATGAAGGCAGACATGACAGTTACAATACAATTTGGTACAAGAGGAAACAGAGGGCCCGGCTCATCAGAGCTTACAATCTAGGAGGAAGGGTTGAGTGATACAAAAGGTAATAGATGTGGGGGGGATGAGCTGATGGAGGAAATAAATGGTGGTTTACTAGGTAGAAGCAAGATAGACTTCTTTAAAGAGAGGTTTTCAGGGATAGTCTAAAGGTGGATAGATTAGGAGACAACCGGACAGATTGGGGTAGGGAGTTCCATAGGATAGGAGAAGTCCTAGAGGCGAGCATGGGAGGAGGTGAACATATTTAAATGAAAGCTGTGCCAGTAGTTGAATTTGACCTGGTATCTGCCTCTTTCAATCCCTGGTACAGCAGAGCTCAGACAGAGGAAAAACAGGACAAGGAGTTAATCAGTTGTGCTGCAGTGCTCACATTCTAACAAGCAACATGCTGATGGGAGGAGAAAGATAGATGAGCTAATCGGTCTGGCATTTCTCCTTTCGCTGTATAGTCACAGGACGGGGAGGAGACCTAACGCTAGGTTCACATCTGTGCGGGTGGTGCCGCTGCAGATCTGCACACAAATCCGTGCAGTCGCACCACCCGCACAGAGAAATGCGGACCCGCAGACGGGTGCTATTAGTTCTAATGGCACGCCGCCCGCACTGGAAACCGCAACTGTACTGGGAACAGAGGTTCCCGTGTGGGCTGCGTTTTCCAAAAGTGCAGGGACTTATTCCCTATGTGGCACGGATTTGGGTTTGGGAATATATTTGTCTGTAAAGCACCTCTGTGTAAAGAGAATGCAGGTCCTCTCATCTAGTCTGTGGACAGCAGGTGCTATGAACACACAGCAAGCACCTCCTTAAGATGCCTATGAATACCAAGCTTTAATATACATACTAGACTTTTTACCCCCCGGTTCACATCTCTGCGGCCTTGCGGGCCGCGTTTTACATGGGCATGAGAGCCCATTCATTTGAATGGACTCCCGTGCCCGTGGCACGCAGGGAAGAAAGTTCCTGCACTTCTTTGGAAAATACAGCCCGCACGGGAACCTCTGTTCTCAGTACGGTTGTGGTTTCCAGTGCGGCCGGTGTGCCATTAGAATTAATGGCACCCGCCGACGGGTCCACATTTCTCTGTGCGGGTGGTGCGGCTGCACAGATTTTCGTGTGGATCCGCAGCGGCACCACCCGCACAGATGTGAACCTAGGGTCAGACACTGGGTTTAGGAGTAATGGCTGCGTCCCTCTTTTGACAAATGCCGCCTTCTTAGTATTGCTGTAGCACTCACAATGGCTGTCTTTGATATGCTGTAGATGGAATAACTTCAAGAGCTTTGCTGGTCTGTGCATGTTACATAAAGATGTTTTCTAATGATTTTTGATATTTCAGGTGGTCACGGCCTACGTGCTGGATCAGACGGTGGATCCCTGTCCTCTCCTGGTGGCGCCTCAGGAAGCAGAGATAAAATTCCCCGCAGGCCTCAGGTCAAGAAGGAGAAAGCCACACTGGCTGATTTTGTGCCAGTGCTGACCCAAGGTTGGGCAGAAATACTTGTACGCAGGCCTACTGGTGAGTATCTGAACACATTGGGGACTGTTGCATGATTTTTCATTTGCCTGAGTTGTAACAAAGTGTTACTAGACCCACAAAAGTAAAATCAGTCTGTATATGCAGTAAAACATGCTTGTTATACACTGTGGAACCTAAGGGGTTAATCCTCTGCATTGTGTAAAAAGGCTGTTTGATCCTGTCTTCTCTGCCTCTCCTTGTTGAAATGACCACCTGATACAGATTGAACCCGGGTCACATACTCAGTTTGGTGCCTATTGCTAGAGGGGTGTTTTTTTTTTTTTTTTTTTTTATTTATTTTTATTTTTTTTTTCCTTCTTGGGAGAGTGCATGTGATCAGCACAGGGCCAATCAGCACTATCCAGACAGAGGGTCAGAGGTTTCACATCCTCCTAGAGCAGAAAGAAAAGATCCTGTCTTTGATCCTCTCCTTTTTTTACTGTCCCTAATCCATCTGCTGATAGAGCCTTGAGGGCAAGCTGCACATGCTCAGTTTGATGTGTATTGCTAAAGAATTTTTTTTTTTTTTTCTTTGGAGAGTGCATGTTAGCAGTGCTGGGCCAATCAGCACTGTCCAGACATAGGGTCAGGGGTTATGCAGCCTCATAGGACAGTCGGGGGAGATTAAAAATACTCAGACCAGCCGCTCACAAACCACCATGCTACGTTCAAAGTAACTTAAATCCCCCTTACTTCCCCATTCTGATTCTCGGTTTGAACTTAAACAAGTCGTTGTCAGCACGTCTAGATGCATAAATGCATTGAGTTGCTGCCATGTGATTGGCTGATTAGCAATTGAACAGGTGTAACTAATAGTCGCCGGTGAATGTACATAGTCTTAACCACTTCAAGTCCGGACACTTTTACCCCCTTCCTGTCCAGGACATTTTTCAGCTTTCAGTGCTATCACATTTTGAATGACAATTGCCACGGTCATGCAACACTGTACCCATATGAATTTTTTAGCATTTTTTTTTAGACCAATAACTTTACTTGGTGGTATTTATTCACCGCTGGGATTTTTATTTTTTTGCTATATAAATGAAAAAGTCCAAAACTTTGAAAAAAAAGTTTTTCTTACAAAATTTTGCAAATAATCTCTCTTCATAAATCTTGGCCAAAATGTATTCCATTATCTTTTTAGTAAAGAAAAAAAAATCTAACCCAAATTAGTTTATAACCAAAAATTATAATTTATCTATTTTTTTTTTTTTTTTTTTATATTTTTTTTTTTTTTTTTTTTTTTATGTTTTGTTTTTTTTTTTACATTCTGTAACCCTAGCAGTACAGTGTCACCATAGTGACACTGTACTACTTGTAGGGGCTGATGATTTTTTTTTTTTTTTTATACACTGATTGCTTTTACACCCATAAAGGCTGTAAAAGCAATCATTTCTCCTCTCTCTCTGGCTGTATTCTTGCAGCCATTGAAAAATACTGTGTGAGCTGTGATTGGTCACAGCTTGTCACATGGTACAATGCTGTTGTGAATAGCCTTGTACCATGTGACCTCTGTGATCATTCACAGATTTCACACGTAGTAAGCAATGATATCAGAAGTGACATCTTGCTTACTACTCTTCATGTGATCACTGATTGGCCAATCAGTGATCACATGATCGGGAACCTCACACAGAGGTCCCATACAACGATCGGTGTTCCTTCAGACACAGCGGTCACCGGATCGCGTTGCTGTGCGCGCAAGCAGGGAGCGGGGAGGATGTTTATAAACGGCCGCCCGCCCCTGCACTACTTCCGTCCGGCCATTTGTATACATGGGCTAGATGGGAAGTGGTTAATAAAACATACTCTGGACCTCTGATGTGCTGCGTGAAGGAAATTGTGTAGACCAAAAGAAATCTTAAATCTATCGGCTCAAAGAAAAGTGGTACAGTTCCCTACATTTTTTATTGTTGTATTTTGTGCCCATTTGAGGGATTTTCAGTCTTCCATCCATCCTCCCCAACACATGCACAGGCAGCAATTTAAAACCAAACACAGCTTCTATCCTTTCCACCCTACAGTACAGCCAGGACAAGGTTTTAGCTAGAGATCTGATTTATTTGTATCCAGTTGGTGTGTGTGTGTGTGTGTGTGTGTGTGTGTGTGTGTGTTGGCTCATTTAGAGGACAGATACAGTTTTATTTTTTTTTTTATTTTTTTTTTTAATTTAAATATTTATTAATTTTTCAGATAAACAAGTTATACAAACATACTCATTAAAATCTTAGCATATTATCAAAACATATATCGTTTCATCCCTCCCCCCCCCCCCCCCGTTTATACCTATATACCCCCCATCCCCCCCCCCCAACCTATATACCACCCATCCCCCATCTCCCCCCCCCCCCCCCCCCCCCCCCCCCCCCACCTATATACCACCCATCCGACCCCCCCCCATCCAATCCCTAACCCCTTCTGCTCGGCATTTTCCTGTTCATTTCTGCAGATCGTAATCCCTATAAAAGAACAAAATATGTTTCCATGTTATTCTATGTTAATCCCCCATAACCTCTAAGGCTAGCCTTGACTTTTTGAATTCCTCCCATTTGTTCCATCTTGTATGGTGACTCTCCATCTTATCTTCATTCAAATGATAAAGTTCCTCCAATTTACATATTTGATCCACCCAGTCTTTTATTCTCGGCACCTCCTGTCTCCTCCAATACTTGGGTATCAGTCCCTTTTCTGCATTCTAATAGTACAATAAACCAGATTCTTCGTATTTTTGTAACTGAAAGCTTAGTACTATGAAAAAGGCAAATCTCTGGGTCTACTAGAATATCAACCTCTAATAACAGATACAGTGTTATGATGTGTTTTTTCGTCTTGCAAAGCATTGCATCACATCACAATGCTGTACAAACTCACAAGGTAAAACAGTGCGTCTTTTCACCTCCAGGTAATACCAGTTGGCTGATGAGTTTGGAGAATCCACTGAGTCCCTTCTCCTCCGATATTAACAACATGCCTCTCCAGGAATTATCCAATGCCCTCATGGCAGCAGAGAGATTCAAGGAGCACAGAGAGACGGCTCTCTACAAGTCACTCTCCATGCCTGCCTCCTCCTTGACTGCTGCCACATGCAAGCCCACCTTACTGCAGAGATCCAACACAGGTAAGTAGGCCCCTGTGTTCTCCATGTAATGTCGCAGCATCCATGCAGATAATGCATGTTAAGTGGCGTTTTTACTGACAGAAGGTAGGAATGCCAACTCTGCAATACCCATAGATCGTTGGTTGCATACTACATCCTCCACCAAACTTGGGTGAAAGGGGAGCAGCTTTGCTTCCCACCAAAGAATTGTATTCATGAGATCCATGTTGTTGTTCAGGATTTATATAGCGCCAACAGTTTGCTCAGCGCTTTACAATATAAAGGGAGACAATACAGCAACAATACAGTTCAATCAAAAAGGTTTAGGAGGGCCTGATCCTTGGAGCTTACGCTCTAAGAGGGAGGGGCTGGTGGTACAAAAGATAACTGTGGGGGAGGAACTGATAGGAGAAATAGAAGATTCGGTTATTAGCTAAAGACAGGATAGGCTTCCCTGAAGAGAGGTTTTCAGAGATCGCCTAAAAGTGGGCAGAGTAGGCAATAGTTGAATAGATTGGGGTAGAGAGTTCCAGAGGATGGGGAAGGCTCTGGAGAAGTTCTGGAGACAAGGGAGCTAGAGAGCAGGAGGTTGTGGGAGGAACAGAGAGGACGGTTTGGGTGATAGTTGGAGTAGAGAATTGTAGCTGCACAATGACAGCCTTTAGTTGCTGTAGGGGGGGCCTCAGCAAAGACTGATGCATAGGAACTGTCCTACAAAAACTCCGTCCGAGACCATGTCTGCTCATTTTTATAGTAACTGTGTGGGTCATGTGACCTATATTTACATAAACCGCTTTTCCTAAACCTCTAAAAAGATCTACCCTCACAGATTGTGAAAAGGGATCGTTCTGCTATCCCAATGAGATGGTTGACCAGGCATAATTAATGCTCATTCTGGTGGACTTATCAACGGCAGTCAATCGAACTCGTATAATTGGCAACTTAATACAATTTATGTTGTTACCATTTACATACCAGATTTGATCCGGTCATGCCAATTGATATATTTGAGACTGTTAAGCCCATTGTCCTCTGATCTTGATTAACATGTCTATGGTAATGATAGAACTTACAAGCTTTTTTGGGAGGACATTTTCCCCAGCCATAACTCATGGTTGATTTTGAATAAGACCAATCCACAGCAAACCCAGCAGTAAATAATTTTTTCTAATATTTATTTTGATATATTGTCATAGTCTCCTGGTTGAAGGCCTAAGAGTCCTTTTCCAAGACCTGCTGTCATAAATCAGCCATGTTCTGACTTCATTTAGTGTCCAGTGCTTGTCCAACCAATGTTTTAGCACTCACTAGTTCATGGTGGTTTTTAAGCTGTGGGCTTATCAGTATTGGGCTAGAGATACATTCCGGCAAATTGAGGTTGGATTTGGCCCACAGAATGACTTCCAGTTTCGGTTTGGGTAACTTGACCAGCGATTTGAGCCATTAATGACCTACCACCACCTAGAGACAAAACCTTGTCTGTCCCTGTCCTCACAAATGTTGTCCACCTATCAAAGTACAGGAAGCTCTTGATGGAAGTTTTTTGTTTTATATTGCTGCCTCTGCATAGGCTTTCTTAGTATCAATGGATGTGAAGATGGTATTTGGGAAGGGGGGGGGGGACTTAAGTCTTGGTTCACAGCTATTCGTTTTTTTTAGTGTGTATTGTGTTTTTGCAGAAACGCACTACAGTCCATTTAACATGGGTTTCCTATGGATCGAATTCACATTTGTGTATTTCGAGCCTCTGTTTTTTTTTTTTTTAAAGGGTCAGGGACTTTTTTTTTTTTTTTTTTTCCTGCATCAGATTGTGTTTTGCATGTAATAGACTTTTTTGTTTTTGGATGACCGTTTTTTGTTCTATTAGTATGACATATGATGCGACGCTTTTTTGCATCAAAGTGTGTAGGAAGCTGTGTGCAAAGTCTCATTTTTTTTTTTTGGCTAATAGGAAAGTATGACATGTAGTGCGACTTTGATGCTACTTGAGTGCCAGAGAGTGTAAAGTCGCATCAAAGTAGTGCAGGAACCTTTTGTGTCCAAAGTCGCATGTTAGGGTTAAGTGTTAAGATTAAGGGTTTGGGTTAAGGTCTAGGGTTACAGTTATTGTTAGGGATAGAAAGCTAACCCTAATGGTTACTGTAGTGGAACTGACCCCAAACTGCACTTGGGCACTTCCATTATAGTACCGCTTCCCCGTCCGAACACCGACCACAGACACCACAGCAGACCATACAAGACTAGAGAACACCAGTCTTGAAGTAAACCAGGAGGTAGACTAGTTTATTTTAACACAGATACAAGATATATACACTCAAGGGGACAGTACCCCCTCCCTGCATAATGACTCAGGGCAATGTACATTTAGTAACAAGAGACACACCAGCAGACAGTCCCATCAGGAGGGAGGGCTGCTGCAAACACTCCCCACCAAGCCAAGTACATAAACACATATATCCCATAATAGTTTGCTCCCAAGCAAGACACACAATAGAACATGGGATGCAACCACATGGCATTAAACAATCAACAACCCCCTCACCCCAATATTAGGACAGATCACCCTGTACCCCTCACAGGCACAGGTGTGACTTACACATAATAGGGATATGGGGAGCTGAGACAGAAGTCTCCCCACATCTCCAAAGTGAGCTGTGTTCCATGGACCCCCCCCACCCATCACAGTTACAGTTTACCCTAATGTTTAACCACTGGCCCTTAACCATAGCTCTACTCCTTAGCCCCTAGCTCCTAAACCTAACATGCAACTTTAAACATGTACAGGTTCCTGCACTACTTTGATGTGACTTGAGTGCCAGAGAGTGTAAAGCTTGCCCCGTTGTTGCACTACATGACCGTGCAGTCATACTTTCCTATTGGCCAAAAAAAAAAAAACACTGGGAAAATGCATCAACTGCAAACTTCATAAATGTGAACTGTGCTTTAAAGAAAGATAATGAGATTAAGAAAATGGCATAGTTTCTTATACAAAAAAAGATTTGGTGGGGTGTTTCTTCTACAATGTGGTACTTTTTCTTGCAAACGGCTCTTCCTCTCCTATTGCAGTGGCCTCTGTTTCTCCCATCTCCCCGTCCAGTGGTCAAGGAAAGCTGCTTAGGAGCATATCCTGGGCAGGTACATACAGATCAAAGGATCCCCGCAAAACTATGTCTGACCCATTAACAAGCCTGTGGCACCTTTGCAGCCATACTGCAAAGGTCTTTTGTTTTGTTTTGTTTTTTTTAGCTGCGTGCTTTGTTGCTAATGAGAAGAAAAAAAAAAAAGAGAACCTATCTGAGGCATGGGCTTCTAGGTGTGCATGTGATTGGTTAGTACAGCTTTTGTAGAACCAAACAAAGTGCATGCTGACTTGTCTAACTGTGCTGGAATCATCTCTGTGCTCCATGGAAGCTTCAGTTTTGTAGATTGCAATGATTTAATAACCACATTAATCAGCGATAATCAAAGTGCTTACTTTGTCATCGTTTTAACATTAACCCCTCTTGACTGTCACAAGCCATGCGTGTATCTCTGGATTCACTGATCAGGCTTTGTATGGCTGAAGGTGCCATGCACACATCATTCTATTCACCTGATATCATTCTAATTGTGTTTCCAGAAAATAGCAGAGCATGGGTGCGTATTTTTACGATCACCTTTTATTTTACGTCTGTGTGAAGATTATTGGGTTGGTTGGAACGTATGGTTGGCTTTCCATGTGGTTGTTTCATGTGTGGTACACTTGGTTTCCAAAAGCCTGACCATCACTGCTACCTGTGTGGCCCAGAGTATGTGGACACCCCTCCAAATGACTATGTTCAGGTGTTTCAAATGTAAGCCCTGTTAGGGCTCATGTACACTGCAGCTGATAAACGCACATTTAGGATCTGTTCAGCATTTTTCTCAGCAGCCCCTGAACTCTCCCTAATGTTTTCCTATGTGTCCATGTACACATCTTCGTTTACAGTCATTTACAGGCAGTTGAGTTTACAGTTGTTTTTTTTTTGAATGCAACAAACGTGTTCAGACGTCGTCATTTTTATCAGCGTTTCAAACACAAAACTCTTGTAAACGTAGCAAATCACGTTTATAAGCGTTTGCGGTGAAATGTTTTTTAACTCTTCCAGTTCCCCATGCTGTCCAGAGCCTTTTTTTTCATCATGAAAAATGCATAAAATTAGTTTTCAAGGTGCTCAGATGGACAAAACACTGAACACAGGATGTTTCCACCAAGCTTGTCACACATTGTAATGACCAATTCACACCTCAGACCTCTCCCACCCTTGGAAACAATAGATATGTTAATGACCATTCACACCTCAAATTCCTCATGAAGACCCCCTGCCAGGTGGCCTTAATGACTCCCTCCACCAGACACCTTTCCCACCCTTGGAAACAAAAGAAATGTTAATGAGCAACTCACTCACGCCTAAACTAATCTCAACACATCCTGCTGTCTCTGCTTCTGCTCTCTCTATTCCTCTGAAACAGTCTGAAATCGTTCATAATTTACCACTTTTCAGTGCATTCTGGGCATTTGGGAGGTTCTCCTGTGCTTATCTTTAAAAAAAAAACGCTTCTAAACACAAACGCACATAAACCGGTATGCAAACGCAGCTAAACAGACATTTTTTTAACCTACGTTTTCCAGCAGTCAGTTTCCATCGTTCAGAAACGTCCCGTGTACAAGGGGTCTAAGTGCTACAGCATTCAAAGACATTTTTGCACATTCCAACATTGCAGGAACAGTTTTGCGGAAGACTATTTTCTGTTTTAGCATGACTGTACCCTTATGTACAAAGCCAGCTCCATAAACACATGGTTTGATGAGTTTGGTCTGGAGAAATGGTCTCCAAACTGCGGCTCTTTGCATACCTTTTTCCAGCCCTTGGGGCACTATTCCTCCCACTGATACCAAGAATTGGGTAAATAATTGCTGCATTGACACCAACGGTGGGGCACTATTCCTCCCACAGATGCCAACAATGGGGCACTAATATTTCTGCTAATACAAAAGATGGGACATTGCTTATTCAATGATGCCAGGACATTCTCTACTCCCACTGGCCACAGATCCCCCACCCCCAAAGTCTGAAGCACCGTAAACTAGCCCTTTGTTTAAAAAGTTTGAAGACCCCTGGTCTGGAGGAACAGAACCTGCCTCTCGGTCCTACTGAACACTTTTTGGATGATTTAGAATACCAATTGCAAGTCAGGTCTTCTCATCCAACATCAGTACCAGACCTCACAAATGCTGTATTTCCTGAATGGGTACATATTCCCACAGATGCCCCAAGGTCTTGTGGATAACCTTCCCAGGAGGAGACCTTTCTTAGATGTGATTATTTAATGGGGAAGTATTGGGTTTGTTTCTCATTTTTAGCATTGCTCATGACAATACATGCAGTGACAGGTTTCTATTGTAATTAAAGCTGAATGCCAGCTAAATACACAATTTACCTATACATGCATCAGTTTAGGAACGCCTCGGTTAACGTAATTTTCGGTTTATGAATGAAAATCCATTGAAAATAATGGCTTGGTTTACAATTTTTTTTTGCAATACGAATGAACCAATTAATTGGTTTTCAAGGCATTTACACTTTTTTTTTTTTTTTTTTAATCATGTCCCTGTATAGTACTATGCCTTTTAATGTGCACTTTATAAAGAGTTTTTTGAACAGATCAGATTGTTTTTCAATGCATTCCTATGGGAAACTGCGTTTCGGTTTCCGAATTTTTCGCAATATGAAAAGTCCCGCGGGACAAATTAAATTCGTAAACCGAGGTATGCCTGTATTTCTAACGGTTTCCTCCACCTCTCCTGAGGGTTATTGAATTCTGACAGCCATCACCTGACAGTGGATTGGATGCAGCTGCTTTTCGACAAAACATTTTCCTGCATGGCCTCTTCGATTTTAATATTGAAGGATGTTGGTCATGGTCATCAAGGCCACCTGAATTTTGTCTGGTTCTTAGATTGTGCTGGATACATAGATATGTATAATGGAGACTAATTGATATCCATTTTGGACTGAATTGAAATTAAAAGACCTTTGTCAGGTTTTTTTGTTTTTTTTTCTTCATGCTGCATGGTGCGGTCAGGGTGGCATTGGGAAGATTTCCTTTAAATTCCTTTTCTACAGCAAAAAGATAAAGGAGATCTCTTCAAATCGAGGAGATAACATTTAGCTTTAAGAAGATTGTGTTGGTCTGGGGATGGATATAATAAAAAAAATTAAACAATATATATATATATATATATATATATATATATATATATATTTATTCAGTAATTCGCTTGTCAAAATCGCTGCTACTGTCAAACAAAAGGAAGGCACCTCTATCCCTATAGCAAGCCATTGCACCCTCCCAGGGCGGCCGTCCTTTCTGCCCACGCCTTGTCCTGGCCCTGCATTGTAGTAACCTACACCAACCAGGATTTATTTTATTTAAAGCAGAATAATTTGCTTTGGGTTGCTATAGTTTGCATATAGCTTTTTCCCTTATTATAAAAAGAAAACCGTTTCTGAACCATCTTCTTTAAGCATGATGCACACTGGATTGTGAAAATAAACAGCATTTTTTCTGCTAGAATTTAGCAGAAAATACGTCTAATGTTGCAATATGTATGTGAGTTTGTGTGTAAATGCATACTAATCATTCTGGAATAAATTTACCCGTGTGCGCATGTTTTTTTCTGCTCCTCTCAGGACGCTCCTTTGGCAGATTGTTTTTTTGTTTTTTCTTTTTTCTTTTTCAGCCTGTAAACGCTCCTCTTCAAATACTCCTGTAAAGGCCTGTGTGTGGACACATAGGCGGACATAAAGGTACTTTTACAGGCTGACAAAACGATTGCTGAACACCTGTAAAAGCGTCATTGTTTTAAGCCCCGTGTGCATGAGCCCTTAATTCTATTTTCTAAAGTGGCTCATGTGATACTCGCCTCTGGTTTACACGCACGGCATGAGGTTTGCATGAATTTAGAACATGAAAGTGTAAAAATATTAAACTGGTCAGAAGTAATAAAGACGGAGGGAATAAGTATCTGTAATCGCTCCTACATTGGGTCAAATGCTGCCTGTTGCTTTTAGATTGATAAACGAGGAGGAGAATGGATTAGCTGGTATAGGCAGCATTCCCGCTATTCCTTACCCTCCAGGTTGTTCGTATCACCCCAGAATTCTTCAGGCTAGGAGATGCTCTGCATGCTATTAGTGATGGACCTCTTCTGTTTCCAGAGTCCTCCGTGCTTCCGGAAGAAGGTTCTCAGACTGAAGCTGACTTAGACATGATGTCTCCGGCTGGGTCCCAGGAGCTGGATGACTTTAAGGCTGTGGCCAATGACGATACACCAAGTGAAGAAAAAACGGACAAGAAGTCCGAAGGTATCAGCAGGGTGAGTGTGTTGTTAGAATTATTAAATATCTCTTTAAGTGTATCTTAACCCAAATGCTGACCAAATATGTTGCTGCTCACTCTCCTGTAGATTCCTTTTACACTCACTAGCCACTTTATTAGGTACACCTTGCTAGTGTCAAGAAAATCCCCCCCCCCACACACAGCATTACTGTTCTGTCTCTCCAATCTAAGCATTGAAAGTGTGATCTCTGTAACTTAGTTTGATGAGATAGCGATAACTCCAATCTTAGTTGAATAACACAGGCAGTGACTCGATCCAGAAAACACCTTGTAGATCTTGTAAAGTTTATTACATAAACTAAGAGAATCTTACAACAATGAACATCTGATAGGTCAAAAGATCATAATGTGATCTACTTCCATGAGGCTAGAAGCTGAAATGCATTACTGGGAAATTAATACAAAGGTGGGGCTATCTATACAGCATGAACTAAACCAAAGGGAAGGGAGGAGCAGAGACAAAATACAAAAAACACTTAAAGGCATATGACAGTCATGTGAAAAACATGATAATTCCACCAGCCTGAAACTTTGATACAAGGCAGGATGGATCCATGTTTTCATGTTGTTTACACCAAATTCTGACCCTACCGTCTGAATGTCGCAGCAACCAGTCTGCCCATTCTCCTCTGACATCAACAGGGCATTTTCGTCCACACAACTGCCTTTTGCTGGATATTTTCTTTTTTCGGACCATTCTCTGTAAACCCTAGAGACGGTTGTGTGTGAAAATCCCAGTAGATCAACAGTTTTTGAAATACTCAGACCAGCCCGTCTGGCACCAACAACCATGCCACATTCAAAGTCACTTCCCCATTCTGATGCTTTGTTTGAACCTCAGCAAGTCTTCACCACGTATAGATGTTTAAAACAATGGGTTGCTGCCATGTGATTGGCTGATTAGCAGTTTGTGTTACCAAGCAATTGAACAGGTGTACCTAATAAAGTGGCAGGTGAGTGTATATGTCCTGTTTGGTGTATCTATGATGCTTTCTTTTCAATGTTGACAACTCTTAAAGCAGGCCTAAAGTTCCTCTGCCATTCGTTGTGTGCAGGCAGGCTTTTTTTTTTTTTTGCAGAGGAGACATGCAATGTCTCTCCCACAATAAAACACACCTAACATGCTTGCTCTCAACAATTTCAGGCATGTAAATTGAGCTGCGCATGCACAGGAGCTTACAGCAGCCAGCACAATTGCTGTGTGCTGGGATGATCAGCTTCTGCGCATGCACAGGAGTGACAACATTCTGTGCCGTCGAATGAAGATGTCTGAAAACCAGCAAACAGAAGAAGATACTGGCAGGGGATGGGGACCGTTGGAGGAAAAGGGAGTATTCATCCCATTAGTTCCGCAGTAACTGCAGCATTGTCTTTCCTCCTGAGTTAGACTTTAAGCAGTTGTACTAGTGCAGAGTTAATGGCACATTCTGGTGTAGTCACTGCTGTAAGATAAATAAATGATCAGCTGTTGGTGGCGCTCGCACACCTTTTCAGGAAGTTCATACAAATAGTCTGCAGGATGGTCATGATATAAGGAACAGAAAATGAGAACAATCTAGGCATTCACTTCAGCTCACTATTCACTTCAAGTATCCTTTTTTAAAGCGGAGTTCCACCCAAAAGGAGAAGTTCCACGTTTAAAGATTGGACAAGTACCCGATCTCACTTCCGCTGTCCAATCACCTAGGTGATTCACAGCAGAAGTTGTCCTTTTACCCTCCCTCCCCGTAGTCTTGTGGGAGACGTGACAGGTTCCAGAAGACTATGGGGCCATTCAGGAAGCGCAGCACTACTTGCGCATGCGCAGTGGGCACCCGGCTGTGAAGCCGCAAGCTGTCACAGCCGGGGGCCCACACTGAAGATTTCAGCACCTGGAATACAGGACGGCCGGTGAAACGGGCTGCAGCGGGGGCACCGTGGGATCGTGGGACAGGTAAGTGTCTGTTTTTTAAAAGGTAGCAGCTACAGTTTTTGTAGCTACTGACTTCTATTTTTTTTTACAGAGTGAGTGGAACTCTGCTTTAATTAACATTCTTAAAAAGGAAACCACAGGACCAGGACTGTGCTGCAGAGCAGAGGGCAGGCCACCTGGGTCAATACTAAAAAGATCTGCTAGACTTTCAATCCTGGGTGAAGATACTCTGCCATTCAGATCTCTGAGTGGGCCCTACAGTTAATGACCTGTGCTGGGCATTCTTTATCTCACTGTTCCTTGTTCAGACCTACGATCACAGCATCTGGCCATGGGAAGGCTTCTAGCATCCTTGGTGGCTCTGAGATGTCATGTGATCATTTGCCAAGAGCCACAAAGAAAGGTGATGCTAGATTATGTAAAAAGGTGTCTCACAGTAAACCATGTCCTTGAACATTCACTTTTTCACCCTCCCCACCAGTCATTGCAACACTGACACACTTTGCATGGTCCGCTGCCTTTGGAAGAAATCTACAATGCAAGGGACTTGTAGCTAACCCTTAGGCCAACATTTCTTATTCCTTCCCTGCAAAAGAACAGCTATTGTGATAATTTTAGAACATTGCTGAAGTTACACCCTGAAGGAGCAACAAAAATGTGGTTGGAAAGCTAAGCAGCTGTGCCCAGCTATCAGAAGTTAAGGAAACGAACATGTCACTCGACACATTTTTTTATTAAGAGACCAACAAAAAAAAAATTATGTAATGCTATCTAAGCATGCTTTTGGAATTCTGCTGATGGTGCCCCTTTATAAGTTCTTTCCTTTCATCTCTTTATTTGCATAGTCCTCCTCCACCTCCAGTCAGGAATTGTCCACTCAGCAGTCAGAAGAGTCAGAAGTTGGTGGAATCCCCATTGAAGGGTCTACACGGGAGATTGCTTTCCAGCCCTCGCAGACGCTGAGCAAGTCTAGTTCCTCCCCAGAACTGCAGACCTTGCAGGAGCTGCCCAAGGAGCCAGAGGCTAAAGAAGATATTGGTACACCAACACCTGAAGCCAAACCTCTACTGCAGACCCCCAGTGCGGAGCCACCCATCATCCAGCCTGCCAGGGGGGAGGAGGATAGCTCTAAACAAGAAGCTGGCGCCAGACTTGAGCCGGGGGCGTCCCAGCAATCTCCACAGTCTCCAAACGGATACCGTCCCAGAGGTCACACTATTTCTGACTCTGAGCCCTCCCGTCGGGGAAGAAGGATAAATATTGATGCTTTCAGGAACAGCACAAAGGCCACCAAAGAAAAAGTGCCTGGAATAGACCCAAGGTACACCCCAGGTCTCCCTGTCTGGTTATTTTAGGTTTCATGCATAAGTATCTAGCAAACAAACAATGCTCACAACAACCAGTTTATTTTGCGCCCCTAGTTACTTACAGTCAGGTCCATAAATATTGGGACATCAACACAATTCTAACATTTTTGGCTCTATACATCACCACAATGGATTTGAAATAAAACGAACAAGATGTGCTTTAACTGCAGACTGTAAGCTTTAATTTGAGGGTATTTACATCCAAATCAGGTGAATGGTGTAGGAATTACAACAGTTTGCATATGTGCCTCCCATTTGTTAAGGGACCAAAAGTAATGGGACAGAATAATAATCATAAATCAAACTTTCACTTTTTAATACTTGGTTGCAAATCCTTTGCAGTCAATTACAGCCTGAAGTCTGGAACGCATAGACATCACCAGATGCTGGGTTTCATCCCTGGGGATGCTCTGCCAGGCCTCTACTGCAACTGTCTTCAGTTGCTGCTTGTTCTTGGGGCATTTTCCCTTCAGTTTTGTCTTCAGCAAGTGAAATGCATGCTCAATCGGATTCAGGTCAGGTGATTGACTTGGCCATTGCATAACATTCCACTTCTTTCCCTTAAAAAACTCTTTGGTTGCTTTTGCAGTATGCTTTGGGTCATTGTCCATCTGCACTGTGAAGCGTCCAATGAGTTGTGAAGCATTTGGCTAAATATCAGCAGATAATATTGCCCGAAACACTTCAGAATTCATCCTGCTGCTTTTGTCAGCAGTCACATCATCAATAAATACAAGAGAACCAGTTCCATTGGCAGCCATACATGCCCACGCCATGACACTACCACCACCATGCTTCACTGATGAGGTGGTAAGCTTAGGATCCTGAGCAGCTCCTTTCCTTCTCCATACTCTTCTCTTCCCATCACTCTGGTACAAGTTGATCTTGGTCTCATCTGTCCATAGGATGTTGTTCCAGAACTGTGAAGGCTTTTTTAGATGTCGTTTGGCAAACTCTAATCTGGCCTTCCTGTTTTTGAGGGTCACCAATGGTTTCCATCTTGTGGTGAACCCTCTGTATTCACTCTGGTGAAGTCTTCTCTTGATTGTTGACTTTGACACACACACCTACCTCCTGGAGAGTGTTCTTGATCTGGCCAACTGTTGTGAAGGGTGTTTTCCTCACCAGGGAAAGAATTCTTCGGTCATCCACCACAGTTGTTTTCCGTGGTCTTCCGGGTCTTTTGGTGTTGCTGAGCTCACCGGTGCGTTCCTTCTTTTTAAGAATGTTCCAAACAGTTGTTTTGGCCACGCCTGATGTTTTTGCTATCTCTCTGATGGGTTTGTTTTGTTTTTTCAGCCTAATGATGGCTTGCTTCACTGATAGTGACAGCTCTTTGGATCTCATCTTGAGAGTTGACAGCAGCAGATTCCAAATGCAAATAGCACACTTGAAATGAACTCTGGACCTTTTATCTGCTCATTGTAATTGGGATAATGAGGGAATAACACACACCTGGTCATGGAACAGCTGAGAAGCCAATTGTCCCATTACTTTTGGTCCCTTAACAAGTGGGAGGCACATATGCAAACTGTTGTAATTCCTACACCGTTCACCTGATTTGGATGTAAATACCCTCAAATTAAAGCTGACAGTCTGCAGTTAAAGCACATTTAGAATTAGAATTGTGTCGATGTCCCAATATTTATGGACCTGACTGTATGTTAAAGAATATGCCTTGTGTATCTGCTCTGGGAATAGTGCTGGTGGGGATGGTTGTTCCTGTTGGGCAATGGGCCTAGTTACTTATATTGAAGAATACGCCTTGTGTATCTGCTCTGGGAATAGTGCTGGTGGGGATGGTTGTTCCTGTTGGGCATGGTCCTAGTTACTTATATTGAAGAATACACCTTGTGTTTCTGCTCTGGGAATAGTGCTGGTGGGGATGGTTGTTCCTGTTGGGTAAATGGCTGGCTACTGCTTTCAGATAATGGGGCCAGTTACGTAGATCAATATTAATCAATCTTAATGTAGGGAAAAGGGTTGGTGATGGTTACTCTTATTGGATGATGGTGTTAATTTGTTTTCTAATGTTCTTTCTCCTCTCTAGCTTTGTGTTCTTACAGTTGTACCATTCTCCTTTCTTTGGGGATGAATCCAACAAGCCCATCCTGCTCCCAAACACTGAGGTGAGCAGCAACTAATTGAACTGCTCTGTGATATTTGTAGTAGGAGTGAAACTCTTCAGAATAGTGAGTTTGTGTCTTTCCAGCTAAACCAAGTGTGTTAATTTCCAAATCTAAAGACCTCGTAGTTGTGTACGTTATCTCGTCTCCATAATTTCCATATTAGAATGCATAGTTGGTGTGTACACTGAGCGTAGGGTATCCCCTGACAGTGTTTCTCAACCTTTTGTCAGCCAAGGCACCCTTTAAAAGTATGTACAATCTTGAGGCACCCCTTTATAACATGCAAAAAACCCTAAATTAATAGTTTTACGTATCGCAACGACATCCACACATAGGACACCCAACGTGATTTATTCTTCCAAAGCAAATGCACCTTTGCACATTGGTACTGACTAGTATTGCAGTGATTATCTCCCTCACTCAGCTAATATGACCCCAGTGCTAATAGAGAGGGGCAAACAAGGATGCTGTGCAGTCCCCTTATTAACCGATTTATGTGATTGGGTGTTCGGATGCTGGTGGCTGGAAGTTTTTAATGGTGCAAAGTAGTGCTGCACCGAAATGAAAATTCTGGTGCCGAAACGGAAAACAAAAGTTCAAAATTCACTTGGCCGAAAACTGAAATTTGTGCAGTTTTTAAAAATGAATATATATTTTTTGGAAAAATATACATGGATTAAAAAAAAATATATATACCCCCAATTTTTCTGTAAAATATGAAAGGGGATGTTACGGCGAGTAAATAGATACCCAACATGTCATGCTTGACAATTATTCACGCTCGTGGAATGGTGTGAAACTGCGGTACCTAAATCTCCATGGGTGATGCTTTAAAAATGTCTACAGGTTAGCAGTGTAACGTTACAGAGGATGTCTAGTGTGAGAATTATTGCTCTGTTTTGTGGTGATACCTCACGTGTGTGGTTTGAACATCATTTACATATGTGGACATTCAGCACTACACGTTTGCATTCACCACTACATGCGAGCACGGGGGACAAGGGCACTTTAAAAAAAAAATGTATTTAATGTTTGGGGGTTTTTTTTTGCACTGTTCCTATAAAAGACTTTTAATCACTTTTATTATCACAAGAAATGCATACATCCCTAGTAATAGAAATTATTAGTGACAGGTCCTCTTTATGGAGAGATATGGGGTTAATAAGACCCCACATCTCTCCTCTGCAATGTAAGGCATTGGATCAAAAAAAAAAGCATTGATCTAGCGCTTTAGGAAAAAAAAAAAAATGGCCGGAACGGGAAGTGCCATCGCTCCGGTCCTCCAAGGGCATAGAGATGTGTGGCGGCCATCTTTCCTTCATGCATCTCTATGCCCAGCGCCGGGATCGATGGTTTCTCAGGTAAGGCTGAACTACCGAGCGGCAAGCGGGTACCTGTGAGGGGCCGGGATTTTTCGGCACCTGTATTGGTGCTCTTTTTCATTTTGGCCGAACAGTTTCGGCCACCGAAATTTCAGTGCATCCATTAGTGTAAAGTGAAAACCTGTTATTTTGTGTAAATAAAAGGCATGTTTGACCCAACTCCGGCTAGTATTTTTTGGGGCAATTTTTAAGATTTTTGCCAAGGCATCCTTGTTGAAAAAGGCTGCACTAGCATTGTGGGATTTCTCAGGATCACTTTGGCAGGAAGTGCTGTACATCATATTGATGTTAGGTGTTCCTAGAGGTTTTGTAGAGCACTTGCTTTCACATACAGGGGTTAGAGAAAGAAATGGAAACGTTACATGATTTGCAGGTGTAAACGTGATGACACGTCTCAAGGGACTGAGATTGAGCTCTGCAGTTACTTTTGCAGCAGTTGTTTTCTTATTCCAGGTCACAATTCTGTACAATGTTCTTTGTCTCTTTTGGTCAGTTGACCATGTCAACCGTGCGTATGCTCATCAGACAACGTTTTCCCAGAACCTGTATATGCCGCCTTAGCCTTTTGATACTGAACCTCTCGATACGGAAAATAAATTGGCAACTTCAGTCGCAGAGGCACCAGCTAAGCGACACTAACAATTTTCCCTCTTTGAAGCTCAGTAAGCTCCGACATGACTCCATATTACTAGCAGCACACACAGTGAATGACAAAAGCAAGGCTTCCCACCTGTTAGCTAGGTGTCTCATCACACAGCGGAAGCAAAAGAATGTTACATCACTTCCGTTTTAACATGAAATGTCACTTTCACACCTGCAAATCATGTAGTTTTTCCTTTTTTTTTTTTTTTTTTTTTTTTTTTTTTTGTCTAACCCCTGGAAAAGGCTGTTGATACTGCATGTAGCTGACCTATTCTGGCATCTCCTGGTAAACACCTTTACTATTCATTTCAGTTACATGTATGGGGAATGTTTTACTGGCATTCTGTTCAAGCCACGTTTGTGATCCTGAGACCTTGCCAGATAGAATAGTAAGGTTCTGGCACTCCATGCAGACTGCACTGTAGTTAGACAATACAGCCTGGTCCAGGATACATCCTAGCCTGTGATTGGACAACGAGGGAGCAGCAGCACATTGATGAGCTCATCCCTGTGTTTTGCTTACACATTATACTTTAACAGTGCCACCACCTTTAGGCCTCATGTACACGGGACACTTCTGAACGATGGAAACTGACTGCTGGAAAACGTAGGTTAAAAAACGTCTGTTTGCATACCACGTTTATGTGAGTTTGCGTTTAGAAGCGATTTTTAAAGATAAGCTCAGGAGAACCTCCCAAATGCCCAGAATACACTGAAAAGTGGTAAGTTATTAACTATTTCAGACTGTTTCAGAGAAATACAGAGAGTAGAAGCAGAGACAGCAGTATGTGTTGAAATTAGCTAGGCGTGAGTTGCTCATGAACATTTCTTTTGTTTCCAAGGGTGGGAAAGGTGTCTGGTGGAGGGAGTCATTAAGGGCACCTGGAAGGGGGTCTTCATGAGGAATTTGAGGTGTGAATGGTCATTATCATATCTTTTTTTTCCAAGGGTGGGAAAGGTCTGAGGTGTAAATTGGTCATTACAATGTGTGACTTGGTAGGGACATCCTGTGTGGTAAATTATTAACTATTTCAGGCTGTTTTAGAGAAATACAGAGAGCAGAAGCAGAGACAGCAGTATGTGTTGAGATAATTAGGTGTGAGTTGCTCATGAACATTTCTTTTGTTTCCAAGGGTGGGAAAGGTGTCTGGTGGAGGGAGTCATTAAGGCCACCTGGCAGGGGGTCTGCATGAGGAATTTGAGGTGTGAATGGTCATTAACATATCTTTTGTTTCCAATGGTGGGAGAGGTCTGAGGTGTGAATTGGTCATTACAATGTGTGACAAGCTTGGTAGGAACATCCTGTGTTCAGTGTTTTGTCCATCTGAGTACCTTAAAAACGCTTTACATGCATCTTTCATGATGAAAAAAGACTCTGGACAGCATTGGGAAATGGAAGAGTTAAAACAATTTTTCAAATGCAAATGCTGATAAACGCAATTTGTCGCTTTTACAAGCATTTTGCGTTTGAAACACTGATAAAATCAACTGCTGAACACAAGTTTTCTGCGTTCAAAAAAATGACTAAATGACGTTCTGTACATGGACACATAGGAAAACATTAGGGAGAGTTCAGGGGCTGCTGAAAACAACAACACAGAACAACTCCTAAACGTGAGTTTATCATCTGCAGTGTACATGAGCCCTTAGATCTACCAACAAGTAGGTAGTGCAAGAGCCTGCTTTATAGGATAGAAATTGATTCAAACATGTATGGGGATTTTTAGACTGACCGCTCCATGCATTTCAGTAGATCCATGATTGGCTGAGACTTCTGCCCTCCCCCCTCCCAGTTTGATGTCATTACAAGTTGTTCCATATGCTTTTCTATGCAGAAATATATTTATTGATCTTTGATGAATGTGAAGTCTTGTATGATGGCAAAACACTTTCAAATCAGAGACCTGGTGAGTTGTTTTTGTTGTTTTTTGAATGCTTTCAATAAATCGGTATTTTGTGTTGCAGACATTTGATAGAACAATGAAGCTTCTTGATCAAATCCCGTGCTATGACACCCACAAGATAGGAGTCCTGTATGTTGGGGAAGGACAGGTAAGTACTGCTGTCTGTAGCTTCATCAAAGCTTATGGTTTCCATTTTCTCTTCTTTTTTTTTTTTTTTTTTTTTTTTTTTATGCATTATGTCCTGCTTGTAAATTTTAATGCATATCATTCTCAGACCATTTTTTACCAAATATTTCAGTGTGGCGACGAGAGGTCGATTCTGTCCAATGAGCATGGCTCCTACAGATACACGCAGTTCCTGACTGGTTTGGGAAAACTGATCGATTTAAAGGAAACTCAGCCTGATAAGATCTTCCTAGGTGGTCTGGGTTGGCGTGGAGAGGATGGTCAGTTCACTTACTGCTGGCATGATGACATCATGCAAGGTATGACATCATTTACATGTAGACTGCTCAGGTCGTACAAGGTTGTTTGATAACTGTCATCTATGTTCGACGCATCTAGAGGTTTGAAGGACAATTATCTCTGACATCATTTTGGATTCTGTCATTTTCCAGGTTTAAACAATGGAATGTTTGCTGGGGGAAAATTGTGCAACTATCCCTTCCTTTCCACCTGGTGATAGACAGTGGTGTATTTAGGTTTCGTGCTGCCCTAGGCAACACAAAAATCTGCTCCCCCCCCCCCTCCCACGGAGAGACCCTGACACCGACCAACACCCCCTTCCCCCACGAAGAGAGCCTGACATTGACCAACAACACCCCACCCCCACCCGAGAGAGCCTTCTGTAACAAACTAGCTCATCAGAGCTGGGAACGGAGTTCTTCTTTTACTTTCTGTTATGTGAGGTATTCCTTGAATCATTCCTCACATCCCCCCTTTCCAGCCCTGAGAGGCCCTTATCTTCTGACAGATGGTGGGGGTCAGCCCAGGAGAAACATTCCTGGTGGGGCCAGCAGGCTGGAAAAACTGTCACCTTTCTCACCTACGTCTGATAAGGCCGCATTTCTCAGAGGGCTGGGAAGCATTGACCCAAAATGGCGTAAGCCCACACATTATAAACTGACCAGAGTAATTGAACATTCCTCGGGGTCAACCGTATGTTTAATGTCATGTATTATGAAGCTATAGTTAATTCAGTTTCCCACTGGCCACTCCCAAAACATGTGGTCCGAGCCCCCCCTTTGAGAGGAACGTTTAAGAGAGACAAGTGAGTTAGACACTCACACACACAGATCTCCGAGGTAACATCGTAACAGAGGAGATCAAAGAACCTTTCTGTTCTGCACTTGGATCTGCAAAACCAGGCATATGGGCAAGTAACTTAACCCTGTAATCTCCTTCCTAATTATCTCTTTGCTGTGTCTTTATATACATATATATATATTTTTGTGACATCTTTGTAAATATTTTATCGCACCTGTTTTTACCCTGTTAGAAATAAATCTTTCTTTCTGAAAGTGTTAAACTGTTTCTAAGCGCTTACTTGCAATTCACGAATCCCTGCCTTTGAAGAGACGCTACTGTTTGTTATATCTCTGTATAGTAGGTCCGCGGGCCATGTTATATAGATCAATATTTCAATCATTATAGTGTATATTTGATAATGGGAGTTTCCCAGTCTCCGACAAAAGTGGTGGTGGCAGTAGAGGGTTAGTTGCGTAATTAACCCGACCCAGTAACAAGCGCATTCAGGCTGCAGGCACCGATTGTAGCCCATTAGCTGGGCAATCGCTGTGCTGGGTGCGGCTGAGTGTGGCCTTGTTACGCGCGTCACATCGCGGTTTTAGATCGGCCGGTCCTTCGATCACGAGTTTGGTGAGAAGGTCTGGGGTCTGATGCCGTGGGGTGTGACTTATTACTGTTAGTCGCGGCTGTGCAATTGTCGCCTGTGGGTGGCGGCGACCGCGGGTCGTGACATCTTCCACTACCACCACCCCCATACACTGGCAACCCCCCCACATCCCTGCGAGAGAGAAAACACTCACCCTCACAGCTCTGGAAATCCCTGGGAACAAGAGTCAGGCTCTGCATACATCATCAAGCAGCCCACAGACTCTCTCAGATCCAACCAGGTCCCCATGCTGCGCGTGTGTCCCTTCTTCCATCTCTTCTTTTAGGGGGTGGTGCTGCCTCCCTGAAAAATGCCACCCTAGGCAAATGCCTTGCAGTAAATACACCTCTGGTGATAGCCTACCCCATGTCTGTTATTTTCAACTCCTGTTTCACCCCACATATAGCCATAAAAATAGATAAAGGAGCGAAGCCTATCTGCTCAGGGCTTCTGTTTATTATCCACACATGGGGTATCACTTCAGTCCATCCACAGCCTTTTCGCTAATGATCTGTGAGCCCATATGGGAGGGGGTGCTGCATTCTGCCTGCATTGCAGAGAGTGAAGGTGAGGACATACATAGGAATAATGGGTGATTAAAGGTGACCTCTGCTCTGCCCATACTAGGCAAAGTAACCAGCGTACTTTACAGGAGGCACTTTAGGCAGTCGGCTCTCCATGCTGCTCTGTTGCTGGAACCCAGATAAATCCCTATCTCCTCTGATCTTCCCACAATGCAACACTTGGTGCCTGAGCAGCCAGATACCAGGCCCGAGCGCTGTCATGTAGGAGTAGGGGAACTATGCATCCCAGCCACAGCACCACCTGCCTGGAGTTTGCATGTTCTCACTGTGCCTGCGTGGGTTTCCTCCGGGGTACTCCGGTTTCCTCCCACACTCCAAAGACATGCTGGTAGGCTGATTTGGTTCCTGTCCAAATTGGCCCTTATCTGTATGAATGTGAGTTAGGGACCTTAGATTGTACGCCCCTTGGGGGTTAGGGACTGATGTGAATGTACAACATATATGTAAATTGATGGCGCTCTATAAGTACCTGTAATAAATACTAAGCCTAGCCTTGTGTCTGTAGCGCACGCCCAGTAAATATGAAGATGAAAGACTTTTGTTGCAATATGCTAATTTCCATCAACTTTGTTCAGTCATCTTCCAGATCACCACCCTGATGCCCAATGAGGAGATCGATCCTTCCCGCTGCAACAAGAAAAGACACGTTGGAAACAACTTTGTAAATATAGTTTACAATGATTCCGGAGAGTTCTATAAGCTAGGCACTCTGAGGGTAAGTGTGGGGAAAAAGGTTCGACATGAGACATGATTTAGATCAGGCTGCGGCCTACAGCTTCCTGAATATTCTGCCTCATTATATACATATTTTTCAGCCATAACTTTATGACCACCCACCTAATATTGAGTAGGTTCCCCCTGTTGTTGCCAAAACAGCCCTGACACTTCTGTGATTTCTGGCACCAATCTGTCAGTAGCAGATCCTTGAAGCCCTGTAAGTTGTGAGGTGTGGCCTCCATGGATCTGACTTGTTTTGTTTAAAGCACATCCCACTTTTAGATTTAGATCTGGAGAATTTGGAGGCCAAGTCAATAGCTCAAACTCATTGTTGTGTTCCTCAAACCATTCTTGAACCAATTTTGCAGTGTGGCAGGACACAGTATACTGCTGATAGAAGCCACTGCCATCAGGGAATGCCATTTCTATGAAGGGGTGTACTTGGTCAGCAGTAAAGTTTTTAGGTAGGTGTTGCTTGTCAAAATAACCTCCACATGAATGGCAGGACCAAGGTTTCCCTGCAGAACATTACCGAAGTATCACGCTACCTCACCAGACCAAGGCCACCTTCTTCCATTGCTCTGTGGTCCGGTGCTGATGATCACATGCCCATTGTAAGCACTTTTGGCTGTGGACATGGGTCAGCATGGGAACCCTGACCAGTCTACGGCTACACAGCACCATACACAAACTGCAATGCACTGTGTGTTCTGACACCTTCTATCGGAACCAGCATTAACCCCTTGACGTCGATCGCATGCAAATGTGCGGCCTCCCGGCATCTGGGTCTTGACGCGCGCGCGGCCGCATATTTGCGTGCAATTAAAAAATACATATGTGCTGAGAGCACGCGCTCCCAGCCAGGGGTGGATTTGGCCATTTGGAAACTCGGGCACTGCCCGAGGGCCTGGGGTCAGTAGGGGGCCCCATGAGATGCCCCTGGTACCTTTTTCATAGGCTCTTTTGAGTTTGGGCAAGGACACAGGGGCCCCATGATCCCCTATTGCTGGGGGCCCCATGAGTTGTCAGTCCGCCCCTGCTCCCAGCACGTATGTCCACGACTCCCAGAAAGGTCCCGATCTCCCCTTTCGATCAGGACCTTTTCCGATCATGTGACTGCGAATTACGGCAGTCACATGACCCTAAAACCCCGCCCTGGCTTCTGAAACTCTTAAAGGCCGGGAGGTGCCGATGCGAAGGTTAAATTTTACTTTCAATATTTTTTTTAATCTTTTCTATATAAAGAAACTTATACAAACAAAATTAGATACAACATAGACATAATGTAGACAAAGGAAGGAAATACTGATCCTGAGGGCATCATCATCACCCCTCCAGTACATGTGTAACATTACAATGTCCCAAGTCTAAGGTATCAACAAAGGATATAAAAACATTCAATGAACCAGCATGAACGTTTTTAGTAACTTGAGCTACAGTAGCTCTTTTATTGGATCGGACTACACAGGCCAGCCGCTCCCCACAATAATGAGCCTTGACCACCCATGACCCTGTTGCTGGTTTGCCAGTTTTTCTTCCTGGGACCACTTAATAGTCGGTCCTGACCACTGCAGACTGGGAACATCACACAAGATCTGCCGCTTTAGAGTTGCACTGATCCAGTCATCTAGTCATTACAATTTGGCCCTTGTCAAAGTCGCTCAAATCCTTACACTTCTGGTTTTTGTTTTTTTTAATGCTTTCAACATTACTACTTCAGGGTCAACATGTTCACTTGCTGCCTAATCTATCCCACTGGCTTTCACATGCCATTGTAATGAGATAATCCGTGATATTCAGTTTACCTGTCATAAAGTTGTGGCTGATCGGTGTAGGTTATCTTACAGCCTTTTCTCTCACTTATTTGTCCTGAAAATAAACATTGCTGTGTTTACTGTGGCTTGTCACATGACTGGCATTTGATCACATGATCAGACTGAACCCTAAGATGTGAATGTGGACTTTGATCATTGGCTGTTTTATATACTGCGGCAAGAAGGTCAGGATTGGCCAAGCTGGTGGTGATATTAATTGACAGCAAGCTCCTCATCCTGCTGTTTTCATTTCACAAAATGTTTTTATTCAGAGAGTAATGGGCTGCTGTTGTCTTTCTATCAGGGTCAGTTTAACTTTGTGGATGTGAACATTCAGCCTCTGGACTGTGAGAGTAACCTGGTGACCCTGCAGTGCCGGAAAGGTGAGAAGCGGTCAGGATTGATATTTATTATCCTTGGCACGGGACTTCTGCCACAGGCCGTTGTGCCAATACAGGACACATTAATGAAATAGCCAGTGGGATGCACCACAGCGCCCAGCAATAGAACATGTCTAATAGCGACTGCTGCAGCTCCTAAAAGGAATAAAGACTTAACACACTGAGTACAACAAAATAAACATTCCACAGTTAACTATTTTAACATTCCCTACCACATTACTTGCAGTTTACAACCTTCAATGGTATTGGTTCCTGCTCTCTCAGTGCTGCTTCCCTAAACGTTCAGTTTTCACAGGGAAGATGGCCGTGGACAGTGCGGTCTCCAGCCAGTCTGTTGCTCTGGAGTTGGGAGAAGTAGGGAAGTGACTTGTGATCTTAGGCTATGGGAATGTGTGTTTCTGTTGATGCACACAGTATAGGGAAAAACCTCTCTAGTCTGTGCGTGCGTGCGGGAGGGAGACGCATCTCTAGTCTGTGCGTGCGGCGGAGGGAGACGCATCTCTAGTCTGTGCGCGTGCGGCGGAGGGAGACGCATCTCTAGTCTGTGCACATGCGGCGGAGGGAGACGCATCTCTAGTCTGTGTGCGTGCGGCGGAGGGAGACGCATCTCTAGTCTGTGCGCGTGCGGCGGAGGGAGACGCATCTCTAGTCTGTGCGCGTGCGGCGGAGGGAGACGCATCTCTAGTCTGTGCGCGTGCGGCGGAGGGAGACGCATCTCTAGTCTGTGCGCGTGCGGCGGAGGGAGACGCATCTCTAGTCTGTGCGCGTGCGGCGGAGGGAGACGCATCTCTAGTCTGTGCGCGTGCGGCGGAGGGAGACGCATCTCTAGTCTGTGCGCGTGCGGCGGAGGGAGACGCATCTCTAGTCTGTGCGCGTGCGGCGGAGGGAGACGCATCTCTAGTCTGTGCGCGTGCGGCGGAGGGAGACGCATCTCTAGTCTGTGCGCGTGCGGCGGAGGGAGACGCATCTCTAGTCTGTGCGCGTGCGGCGGAGGGAGACGCATCTCTAGTCTGTGCGCGTGCGGCGGAGGGAGACGCGTCTCTAGTCTGTGAGCGCCTTTAGGCGGAGGGATACGCATCTCTAGGGGAGTGCCTTTAGGCTATGGGAATGTGTGTTTCTGTTTCTGCACACAGTATAGGGAGTAGCATCTCTAGTCTCTGCGTGCGGCGGAGGGAGACGCATCTCTAGTCTGTGCGCGTGCGGCGGAAGGGAGACGCATCTCTAGTCTGTGCGCGTGCGGCGGAGGGAGACGCGTCTTAGATTGTGAGCTCCAAGGGGCAGGGCCCTCCTATCCCTCTTCTTTTGAACTGTATTGTTGTTGTATTGTCTCCCGTTTACACTGTAAAGCACTGAGCAAACACTTGGCGCCATATAAATCCTGTATAATAGTAATCTCTGCATGCAGCGGAGGGAGGATGCATCTCTAGCCTCTGCATGCAAGGGTGGCTCCATAGGATGCTGCAAGAGGAAGGAGCCACCCTGAAACGGAACACGTTGATAGTGATCGTGTCACTGGCTTAAACTGGAACATAGGCAAGGGTTAAATGATAAAGATTACTCAGTACATGAATAAATCAGCTGCTGAAAGTGCTTAAAAACTGAGGGTTTGATATCACTTTAGGTATTTTTTGTTAAGTTGCTAAATGTTTAACATTGTTTTCTTGTAGATATGGAAGGTCTGGTTGATATCTCTTTAGCCAAAATCGTGTCTGATAAAAACCTTCCGTTTTTGGCCCGTCAGATGGCTCTTCACTCAAATGTAAGGAAATTTCTATGGTGGTTTGTTGGGGGAAATGTGTGTGTGTGTGTGTGTGTGTGCGTGTGTATGTATGTATGTATGTATATATGTATGTATATGTGTATATATATATATATATATATATATATACTTTTTTTTTTTTTTTACACTTCTCTTTGGTATAGATCTAGGTGTGTCCCAATCCAGTTTGAATGCAATTACTTTTAAAATGGTTGTAAACCTCAGACATGAACTATGCGCAAAGCATATCCCTCTATAGTGTGTACTTCTGTCCCTTGCTTCATTCTTCTGCTATCAGCATGAATAACTTCTGACAAGTTTTCCTGACCCCAAGATAAAAATAGATTGACAGCCTCAGATCTGTTCCTATGAACTATGTGAAGGGGGGGGGGGGGGTGTCACTCCCCTCCAATTAGCTCTCAGAGCTCTCCTCACGGAGTTCTGCAGTGTGTAATTTCAGCTCTCCACCCACTTTTTTTCTGAGCTCTAATATGTATGTATGTGTATTCAACACTTTGAAGGGATGTAGAGAAGAAAGGACTGTAGGTAAATAGGTACAACTTATGAAGGAGGATTTGTATGATCTGGGTATCACCTGAGGTCAGGCATTTCACTGGGTATATATAAGGGTTTACAACCACTTTAACTGACTCACTACCTCTGCTGGAAGTCTATTCCAAGAGTCAACTACTCTCTTGGTAACATAATGCTAGGATCCGTCTTGAACATAGAAACGTCTTTATCAACTGCTTATAAAAATCAAGCTAAAAGTAAGCAACGCCATATTGGTCACCCACCCCCTCACCCGGTTGCAGAGAGCTTGGTACTCAGATCTGATCAGACAATCTCAGATGCAACCAGGCCTTCTATCCCAAGGAACACTACTCCAGCCTCCTCCTCATTCACTGGCAGGCACCGAGTAAACACTCTTCTGGCTTTGTACTTGGTGGGCCTTTTCAGCTGTTTTCCTGGAGTTCAACTTTAAAACCTAAATACAGAGATAAAATACATATATGGGATCTGGTTTACCTGCCAAAGGGTTTGTATTTCTCCATCCATTTTTCCATCCAACTACAAGAGCGCTGATCAGTACCCTCGTAGTTCATTGAGCCATCTGCTACAGTGGCTGACGGTACTTGTAGTTCTGTGAATGATCACTGTGAATGAATGAATGATGTGGCTGTGTTGCAGGAGCCCCATACGGCCATGCTGTTTTCTAAATGTAACAGCTGGTGCAAGGAAAATATCCCTGCTCATTGTCACAGGGAGGGGGCGGGGGTGGGCAGGTCTGGAATATGTTGCACCCGAATTATGGGTAACATGCGCTGAAAGGTGAGCTTATCCTTTAATGCCCATTTCCACATGCTTCAGTCCATTTAGTTGTCCGTTATATAAATGTCACAGATTCCAATCTTTAACCTCTTGGCGCCGGCCACACGCAAATGTGTGGCCTCCCGGCATCTGGGCCTTGACACCGAGCGGCCCACTCATTTGCGTGCAATTAAGAAAAACATATGTGCTGAGAGCTCGCACCCTGCACGCTCCCAGCACATGTCTGGTACTCACGGAAAGGTTCCACTCTCCTGTTTCATTTGGGACCTTTCCTGATCATGTGACAGCGTGTCACGGCGGTCACATGACCCTAAACCCCGCCCCGCCTACCGGCTTCTGAAACCCTTAAAGGGTCGGGAGGTGCCGGCGCCAAGGGGTTTATAAAAAACAAAAAAAAAAAAAAAACCTATTTGTATGTTGACCTGTGACATGTCATGTTCTCTTGTCTCCCTCCTAGATGGCCTCACAGGTGCACCACAGTAGATCTAACCCCACAGACATCTACCCTTCCAAGTGGATTGCCAGGCTGCGACACATTAAGAAGATAAGGCCTAAGGTAGGTCTCTGAGGAGTATGCATGAGTCTACCTCCTACCAAGGAACCTTGCATTATTTGGCAAAATAAATGTGCCACCACGTGACCTTTGCACCTACCTGTATGGACAAAGGTATGTCAAAACCCTTCAAATTGAGTTCAGGTGTTTTCAGTGAAGAGATCTGTAATACTACAGCATGCAAGGGCACTTTACCTTACTGTGCGCTTCCAACCTTTTTGGCACCAGTTTTGGGAAGGCCATCTCCTGTTACAACATGACTGCCCATGTACAAAGCCAGCTCCATAAAGACAAAGTTAGATGAGTTTTATTTGGAGGAACTCCAGTGGCCTGCAGAGAGCCCTCACCTCTCCTCTACTGAAAACACTTGGCATGAAATGAAACTTATTGCCAGCAAGGTCTTCTCGATCAATATCAGTACTTGACCTCACAAATGTTCTTTTGGCTGAATGGACTCCAAAATCTTGTGGAAAGTCTTCCTAGCAGATTAAGGGTTCTTACAACTGCAACTAGGGGTCCAACTCCATATTAATGCCCATGGTTTTGGAATGTACACATGGAATCTTCTGGGTTTGGGGTGTGCATGTGTGTGCCCCCTGCCGACCCATGTTGTGATTGGACACCATACAAGTCTGGCAGGAAATGTCAGCCAATGATTTTGGCTGGAAACAGCTGATTGTGTCCAACTTACTAAAGCTGGTTCACTCAAAACCTCGTGAGCTTCTAACCTCCACTTGTCCATTTAAGCTTTAGCAGTAAAACCTTTTAAGCTGACTGATTTCTATGTAGAAGTGCGCAAGATTCTGAGTGAACCAGCTTTAGTAAAATAACCGCTTCCCCTCTGCCCTATAGGAGATATACTGTTGCAGGGGGCGTGCAAAATCACACGTGTGTATATATACATGATTTTGCATTTGTGGGTAGGGGGCGTGCGCACCATTTGCAGCTGTCAATCACCGGGTCCCGGACGGTGATTACCGAGGATCTCTGAAGGGGAAGAGGGCTGCTTTTGTTTACCAACAGTCCTCCTCCCTGTCGGCTCGGGCACACTGCTCTGGATGGCTGTGCACAGCCATCCAGAGCAGTGTGCTTACAGTGAAGCACCAACACTCCCTGCACATAGTTAACACTTTGATCGCCCCTCATGTTAACCCCTTCCTGCCCAGTTCCATTAGTACAGTGTCAGGTTTTTTTTTTAGCACTGATCAATGTACTGGCCACTTTATCACAGTCCCACTATAAGCAATAGACGCTATACTGCAATGGCAGTGATCGGCGACTAAGTAAATTCCAGTATATATACACCATAGCTCGTAGACCCTACCAAAGACATGTTGCAGAATACATTTTTGCAAAATTTATGAAGAAATTTTATTTTATTTTTGTTTCGTTTTACAGTAGAATCTGGAAACTTTTTTTTTTTTTCCAAGTGGTGATTGAATACCACCAAAAGAAAGCTCTATTTGTGTGAAAAAAAAGATAAAATTTTAATTTGGGTAGTGTTACTTGACCATGTAATTATGAGTTAAAGCCTCTCATGGATCCCGTGCAGCACAACACCTCCTCTGCATGTCCATTAGTCTGAGGAATTACTTGCTCCTGCCTTCAGCAGTCTCCTGAGCAATGTGCTGCATGCACTCAACATGAAAACTGCATATGACTCCAAGCCCCCTTTTGTCCATCATGTGTTACATTGCATGTAATAACTTGCCATTTCTTTTCATGCATTCTGCAGATCCATGATGAGTTTCTTGAAATGACTGCAAATATGCCTTATCCAATGCACAACCTCTCCAGCAAACCTCCTCCACAGAATCCGCCATCAGCAAGTGGCTCGTTTGAAACCGGTCAGCGAACACGCTTGATATCCGGTGTGGATGATTTCACAGAATTTGCATAGTGGAGCCATGCATGTGCTGGACTGGATGAACGGTACACCCCAAAACATTGACAGGAGCATACTGGAAGTACAGATTACCATACATGAACACTAAACCTTCCAGGCCACATGTATCAAGACTACAGCACAGCATTTTAGAAGAGACTCTGAATTAAATTATTTTCAATACTGGAATGGAACCCTAATTTATTAAAGACTTCTTCATCGGAGAGGATGCAGAGAAGACCGAGAAACATTCGCCTGAAGATGATCTTTCTTTGGACACACAAGTGCCCACCTTTGCTTAAAAGTTGTTTTCTGCACAATTCTAAAATAAAGTTTAAAAAATTCTATATCTTTCGTAATAGAAGGCTGGTCATGTTTGAGAAATATATACTGTGAATGTGTAAAAAAAAAAAAAAAAAAAAAAAAATTTGTGTACAAATGCTTTATTCATTAAACCAAAACTCCATTTTTTTGTAAGCCTTCCCCCTCCAAAGTTTTTTTGGTTTTTTTTTTTTTTTTGTTAGGTTTTTTTTTATTTTTTTTAGGTTTTTTGGTTTTTTTTGTTTCTTTTTTATATCCACTCCCTTCACACAATACAATACTTTACTTCCTGAAGTCTTCTGGCCAGTTACATGGTGTTTTCAGATCTCCTCCTTTATGACATTTCTACAGTATTGTGAGAAGAAAGAGAGTGGAAGGCACCTCTAAGTGCAGTATTAACAATTTATTTAGTAAACAACGGATAAATTACACTTACAAGTTAAATGGTTAAAAAGACTCATCGTGTGGTAATTAGATCCAAGTGGGACATCCAGATGTCCAGCAGCAAACTATGTCTATAGGATCAGGAAGTAGAGTCCAGTGCCTGTGCATCAAAAATGAAGCTAGGAGAGCAGAGTTGGATGTAGCAGGTGAAGGGGGCGGTAATGCATTTTGGAGCATGCTCAATAGGCTCCTTCAGAGGTCTAGGCATAGTTTGCTGCTGGATGTCCCACTTGGGATTACCACACGATGAGTCTTTTTAACCGTTTATCTTGCAAGTGCAAATTTTCCATTGTTTACTAAATAAATTGTTAATACTGCACTTCGAGGCGCCTTCCTCTCTTTTTCTTGTTACTGCATTAGAGCCTTGCTTCCACTCTTAAGAAGAGCTGCCTCAATGTTACTGCTCCCATCCATCCATCCCTGATATCCATCTGGCACCTTTATCTTACAGCTACAGAGGTTGGGCTCCAACAAGCGCGCCCTATATAATATACATTTTCTACAGTATTGTACATACCCATATCTGGGAGCCCAGGATATGATATGACCCGCCATGGGGGTGTGTCCATGACTGCCTGAGTGCACAGGAAATGGGTTAAATGACACTGTCCTCTTGCAAGCTGAATGATTGACAAATGGCAGAACACGGCACTGGGGGACCCCACTGGAGACCAAGATGAGTATTGCAGGAAGAACTCCAGTTTTAATTTAAAAAAAGCCAAACCTTTTTGAAAAATAAAACTGGAGCTCTGCTTTAAAGCAAATATTTGCTTAGATCTTGAAAAGCCCTGACATAAACACTTCTGTGCTCGGACATATCTGAATCTGTAGAGCAGAAATATTTTATATTGATCAGTCTGAGCCTGGACAATAAACGTTTAGCAGCACCAGATCCTAAAAAGAACCTTTTTATTACATTTTCGAAGACAAATCATTCATCATCATTAGACATGGAGGGGCTGAATACACTTCTAGAGGATTACCTCTGGCTGGCCTAGGCTTTGGTTCCTCCTGGATGTCATAATTGTGGGTGTAGGATTCTGTATATGGAGATGTTCTATTTGTGTTCAGTTTTTCTATTGGTCGAACTGGACGGACTTTTTCCAACCTATGTAAGGTGGCACTGGCTAGAACTCTTTTGGCTTCTATTAGAAAATGAGTGACCAGGTTATAAATTGGGTATTGGTTAAGGCTGCGGGCTTTTGTTAAGCAACGCCGTGTACAAATTCAGAATAGATAGCAATGTATGCTGTACAGAAAAACCAGTTAAAAAAATGCTGTTTGCTGAAACTTTTCTAAATCCTAGTGGATCAGATCCTACAAAATCTCTCTGCTGCCCCAAACCTCTTTTTACTATAAGGCTCCATTCACATAGGCGTTTAACCATGTTGCGATTTCTGTTGGCAAGAATCTGATTCCTGCTGTTGGGTTTGACAGCTTCACAAAGTGTGTCCAGCCGCGATCACCGCAGGTAATCGCTGGCCGTGCAAACAGCTAGAAAAGTTGTGTGTGCTGATGGCCTGTCATTGCAGAGTGGGGGCTCAGCAGCTGCAGATGTCTGCTCACAACTGTCATTTGGCAATTTAAAAAAAAAAGGTGTTTGCACTTCTTTTGGTTGATTTTTGCACGTAAGGCAGGAATTTGGAATAAATGGGTTGCTCTAAATATGATGCACCAAAATGTGGAATCACTGTTGCACCTGCATGGGTGTGAATGGAGCCTTGGCGATGCACCTCTGTGGAGCGCTAAATGATAAAATACAGACTAATCAATATAATTACAATAGTATTATTTCTGTGTTTTGAGGTGTTCAGTTACTAATTCTCATCAGAGAATTACATTTGGAATTATAATTAACTAACACAATGAAATATGATACATGGTGTGTATCCAGGGAATACCCGATTGCCTTTCAGGGGATCAGAAAGGATTTTTTTTTTCCCAGCAGGAGCAAATTGGATCGTGCTTTGTTGGGGGGTTTTTTTTGCCTTCCTCTGGATCAACTGTGGGTGTAGGATTATAACTTTTTTTTTTTTTCTATGATTGAACTGGATGGACTTTTCTTTTTTCAGCCAGACTATGCAGAGGGTGAAGTCTTGCAGGGATTTGGCTTTATGCCAAGCTTGCCTAAGGGCATGGCTGTGTCTTCTTGAGACTTTTGGTGTCTTCGGTTTGCCAGGGTTGTAGAAGGCGAGGTCTGGTTCTGCATGTAGAGAGAGGAGCAAGTGTGTCCAGGGAGGATGACAGTAAGTCACTGTAGACAGATGTGGCCAGGACTGGGTAGGACAGGGGTGTGATTTTATTATAAAGACAGTAGCAGATTGAAGAAAGGAAGGGTTGAGGTGGTGGAGGTTTCTGCGGGAAACTATTTGCAGGTCGGAGGCATGGGAGGTAGGAGACGGGGAGAGTATGAAATTGATAAGGTTGTGATTGAAGAGAGGAAAAGGGGTGTTAGAGAACTTGAAGGGAGTGCAGAGGTGGGAGAATACGAGGTTGAGAGTGTTGCCGTTGGAGTAGTGATTTGTGTCCATGGTTTAGGTTAAAAGAGGTGGTTAGGATGAGTAGATGAGAAATGGCTGAGGTGTTATCATTGACCAGAATGTTAAAGTCACTGAGAATGTTGGCAGGTACTTCAGAGGAGAGAAAGTAGGGTAGCCATGCCGAGAAGTAATTGAGTAAGATGGACACTGGGCTGAGAGGATGGAAAATTACTGCAATCTTCAAACAGGTGAAAAAAGGTGAATGCAGAGCACTTCATAAGAGTAGAGACAGAGAAGGGGGTGTAGGAACCTGGAAGGTGTTTTTTTTTTTTTTTGGGGGGGGGACAGCAGAAATCCAGCTCTACCGCCTTTTCGTCCGCTGGGTCAGGGTGTGTGAGTCCAGTGGAGGCCACCATGAGAGGGCAACTGGAGCGTCAGTGTCAGATTCCTGGACCTGGATTTTGGTAATAGCAAGTGCCATATAGGAGAAAACTGCATATATACTATGTTAGCACGGGAGAAGCCTGAAGCTCTCAGCACACACCCTCCTCAACACTGAGCACCGGACAATGGGCAGGATACGTAACATGGGAGCTTCCTTGGCTTAAAAGGATAGGAGGGTTTAGTTACTCTTTTAAGGGGAGGCATGCTGAGTAGAGGGTGGTTGGGGCAGAGAGAAGGCTGATCAGGGAGGTTGGGGGGCAGAGACAAAGCTGGTCCAGGAGGTGTTTGAGGGCGGAGTTGAGGCTGATCCAGGAGGTGGTTGGGGGCAGAAACGAGGCTGATCCAGGAGGTGATTAGGGGTGGGGATGAGGCTGATCCAGGAGGTGGTTGGGGTGGAGACGAGGCTGATCTGGGAGGTGGTCGGGGGCAGCGATAAGCCTAATCCGGGAGGTGGTTGGGGGTGGAGACGAGGCTGATCCAGGAGGTGGTTGGGGGCGGAGATGAGGCTGATCCAGGAGGTGGTTGGGGGGCGGAGACGAGGCTGATCCAGGAGGTGGTTGGGGGCAGAGACCAGGCTGATCCAGGAGGTGGTTGGGGGCAGAAACAAAGCTGACCCTTTTTCCTTTTCTTCCCCCAAGGTGTCCTGTGTTTTATTTTATGTGATGTGTTCTTGTACATTTGTGATGAATTTTGCTGTATTTCAGTACAGTTCTGTGCAGAAAAAAAATGTAGCATGCTCTACTTTTTTTTTTTTTCTGGAACCGGAACACACTGGAACTGACTGCAGTGGCATGAACTATGCCATTGGAACCCATATAATCTACTGTCCATGCATTTTTGATGGACTGCATCTAGTGTGAACCGGTCCTAAAAGGGTTTTTATTGTACTAACAATCGCTTTGAGTTCTCTTTGGCTTTCCTCGTGTACCTCTGGTGTAGTTAGCACTAATGGCAGTTCTTTGGTTACACTACCTAACTTTCGGCAGTACATACAAAGTTGCGTCAAAGCTTGGGATCGCATACATATTTATTAGGCACAGGGTAAAAGGTACATATACTCTATTTCCAAAAGTTGAGATTGGCCGGCCTTTCCACACACATGAGCTTTAATGGCCCCCCAGTATTAGTCCGTAGGGTTCAATATTGAGTTGGCCCCGCCCTTTGCAGCTATAACAGTTTCAACTCTTCTGGGAAGGCCATCCACAAGGTTTAGGAGGGTGTCTATGGGAAGGTTTGACCATTCTTCCAGAACCACATTTGTCAGGTCAGGCACTGATGTTGGATGAGAAGGCCTGGCTCGCAGTCTCCACTCTAATGCATCCCAAA